CGGAATCACAAAATCAAACACTTTGAAAATTGCTGTAATGACATCCTAAAAAAAACAACAACAACAAAAACAGCAACAATATCAACTGTGGCACCAACTTTGCTGAATAGTGAGCATTATTACACGAATTAGCTGTGTAGGGCTATAGACTTACAAGTATCTCTGTCTGTCACATCTTCTGCATATGGTGTCTCCCACAAACTGAAACAAGAAAAAAAAAGGTAAAACTAAGAAATTTCACAAGGGGTGTGGAAAGAAGTGATAATGGGCAACGGGCAAAACTGCAGTAACTGGAGTTTAGAAAACGGGATCAACAGAAGTTTTATTTGTTCATGGGTTCTTTCTTTCTCATTTTTCAGATTGTAATTTTTTCTTTTTCCAAATGCCGTCGTTGGTCGCTTGAGTCATTTCAACTTTCCCCGAGCAGGTGCAAGGAAAGACAACTTGCTGGTCAATTTAGAAGGAAAGAAACTAAACAAAAACATGTTAGTCACCTCTTCAAGGTGGCATGAGCACCAAGGTCCAGGAATTGCTTCTTGCCATTCTCTCCATCCACTAGATCTTCTCATTTCCCTTCTCTCCCTTTCTATCACTTCTCTATTTTGTCTCATTCTAATCTCTCTTTCCCTTCTGTCCTGGTCCCTTTGAAGTTGTTCCCGCTCCAATTCACGCTGTTCTCTTTCCCGCATTCCCCTGTTCATTTGGACTGTTGCTCTGGCTACTCCTTGCACCAACGCAAAAGGACTGTTGTTCGTTGACTCTAAAGACTCAACATTGCAAGGTCTTATGTGCCCCGAATACGAACCAGCTGCAGACAAGTCGCTAACAATATTGTTTGACCCAGCAATCTGGATAAATGAAACAAAATACGATTGCTTAGGGTAAGGGGGCAGTCGCAACAGTTCAGTTCCCTAAGGTATCTTTTTGTCATACAGGAAATCAATTTTTTCACTAAGCTTGTGCGATCAAATTTGCTGGATCATTCTGTCTCATAGTTTTTTCCAGTTTTTATGTCGTATTCAAGAAAAGCTGCGATCTCAGCTTCAATTTCGGTGATTGAGAATGACTTTTAAAACGTCCTTCCTGCCCCAGCAGACATGCTGCGTAGTCCCAGAAAAGGAATATCGGTGTCCCTCTCTTCATCTAAAAGCTATGCTGCATTCAATCTTTTTTACCTGTGCCCCCAACCATGTGCCTTGGTCAGGGCGTGAGCCATTTTGATTACGAGAAAGCAGATCCGAGCGTAAGATAGGGTCTATAGTGTGTCTGGCCACGAAGGAGTCTGTCAAACCGCTGGCTTCGTTTTCCATAATACAGGTATTTGCAATTTAAGGAAACCAATGTTCTGCAAACAGAAAGCAGAGTAGGAAAAATTAAAGTGATTGGATATAGTTTTCTGGCTACATTCAGTGCACTCATGAATCAAGTTCCACCATTTGCAGTCGAACGATTTTCACACGTTGATCAAAGGATTGAAGGTTGAAAGCGTGGGTGTAGTATGTCAAATCGTCGTAAATTTGCTTACAAGAAAAATCTGCTTTGTAAACATCCATTCAGATGCCTCTGGGCTGAACCGGGGTTTAATTATTCCTATTACGCATAACACATTATATTATAACTGCAAGATATCCTAACATGATAAGGGTGAAATGCTTGTCTCCCGCAGTCACTGTCGTTATTCACAATTTTCGAAAAACTAGATAAGCAGGCAATGGATAGAAAAGTATATTTATAGATCGTCTGCATCCGGTACCAAGCTCTACTGAAGCTATAACATTTATTCAATCATTTCCAAACACAATGCTATTTGCGTATAAGTAATAATGGGAAGACAGTAGGCAGGCCACAGTAGGAAATCCCGTGAGAATTTCACGGATTCCCCATTTTTCAGTACATCGTCCATGAAAATATTCCGTTTTAATGTTGGCTTGTTATTGAGTTCGTTTGGAAGTGTTTTGTTCTCAGATCTTGTAATAAAGTTCTGATATAACGCGCGCTGTAATTGGTTGAAAGGGCGTGCTGCAATGGCATTGGACCAATACAAAGGCCATGAATACCGTGGTAAGGAAAGAAGTTCCATTCGATCATTTTTCTCTCAACTCAGAGGCTAGTCGGCTAGTGTTTGCATGGTTGAAGTCCAACATGGCTAACAAAATTTGTGTTCTGCAAAAAAAAAAAAAAGCTGTCACGCCATCTGCCAAACTGTACTATGTCCGACCTTTTCCAGGACTCTCTAGCTTTTTTTCGCCGGTTAATTGAAAGTGAAATTTCCGAACAAGCAAGCCGGCAAGTAGCCACAGGAGAACCAAACAGCTTGCCTGGCGTGTCGCCATGTGCACTGTAGAGTTATTCATTGGTCAAGTGACTCCTTTCATCTCTCTAATTCAACTGTCTTTCGTTCAGTGATCAAGATAGCAGTAGATGTACCATACAACACTCGCGCTTAATTAATTTGCTCTTACTTTGGAAGGTATCAAAGGTAGATTTACAACACAATTGAGTGTCCATAGGAAATGTCCTTACAAAAGCAACGCTGAGTAAAGCAAAACACTAAACACAACAATAACAATAGGCCTTTTCTTGGCCATAATCGGTCTCAAACACTAGCACCTAAAATGCGAAAAACACAGGTACCGTTGGAGAGCGTTTGAGAGCGCTTGGTCAGAGCTGTTGAAGAAGGATCAAAGGAGCCATCAAAATCTTTGAAAGGCTTCAAACTAAGACGAACATCAAGTTTGATCTTCTCGAAAACCGGTCTCAAATTGCATACTAAAAAAACAGCGATTGCTTTTGTTCTTTGTCTCTCTTTGCTTGGGTATCTCCATTGGGCCTGTACTGTGCCTGTTGAAGTCCCCTACGTGTTCTTGTCCATGACTGCTAAACACATCATAAATGGAAGTAACTAGGGCTACACTTTCTGAAATCGTGCAAGAAGAGAACTGCCAAGTGGTGGTAGGAAAATTTGGTGTGGTAACAACTAATTATCTCACAATGGGCGCCGATGGTCTGACTGCAAGTGAAGGTGATGCTTTCTGAGTCTCATTTCCTACAGAAAAGTCTTCAAAACTTGAAAAGCTTGTTTGATGTTTGTTACTTAGCAGCTTTTCATCCCCGGCAGTTAAACGAGTCAACGCCTCGGCTGAAGCCACTAGCGCTGGGGAAGTGCCCGTCATTGGTGTCACAGGTTGGTAATTCACTGGCATTGGATCTCTGTACCGCGGACTCAACCCCCTGGGTTATGAATTCTCTTGCATCGACCCGCTTCTATCTGGAGCCGGTGAACAGGGGAGGCTCTAAAGTGAGGAGGAGCTGCTATTGCTAGTTATAGAGTGCTGAGTCCAATCGTTTGAATGCTTGTTGCTAACTGACATGTCATAACTTTCTGCAAACGAGCTCTGTGGAAGACTAGGATCTGTTGAGTGCCGCAAGCGAGAAAGTTTTGATTAATACAAGTTGTCTCCAAGGGTGGTATCTTCCCATTCTGGTAATGTGTGTCAAGTGCATCGAACAACGCTGGATTCTGTTGCACAGTCTGTTTTAGTAATCTGCAGTTTTATATCTTTTGAGGAGCACATTCATGGTGAGTATTAAGTTTTAGTTTGTTATTTGTGATAGTCCACGACAATCTTTTTTCTCTTCAACTGTCCGTGTTTCCCTTTTGTATTCTTTTTGCCTTATTGGTTTTCCTTTACCATTGCCAAATATTATTCGAACGTTTCTATCAAATTTACGACTTTTTTTGACAACTTCAAATTCCTGATGTGGCTCCTTTCAGAAGTTGTGATCAACATTTCATTTCATACATGCTCGAATAAATCATTCAATCTGTGGAGAATAAATCTCATTAAATGAAATTAAGACGACTATAAAACTTACTTTCGCCAGATGGAAATACAAATCCACGAGAATTTCTGCGTTTGATTTATTTTGTGATCATCATGCTTTTCACGGTCCTCGTTTACTTATTTTTGGAGAGCCATGTATTTATAGCTCCTGAAGAGCTATTTTTTGATTTTCTGTTATTCATTATGTAATTACCTCGTAAAATTCGACGTGTACATGTAGCCAAAGAGAACACAGATAGCCAACTGGAATTGTCATTGTCTCACGTGAATGCCAGGCCAGTAGTGAAAAAAGTGAATTTTTAAGCTTTCGTCTGAGAGAGACTTTAAAAAACACGGGATAACTCTCGGGAAAATTACCTCAGACTCTACTACAAATGATGTTACATACGCCTCTAAAGGAAGCCTAAATGGCCCACACAGCATACTGTAATCGCAGAAACGAACTGATGTCAACATCATCACTTTGATTTTCAGAGCAGTAAGGGTAGCGCCTTCGCTGAGCTAGCGACACGGAACAAGTCCGAAAAATCATCGACATGACTGCTCTATTCTGCATATGTGGTGATTTTGAGGGTACTCGAAGAAAATGAAGGAAACCCAGTGCGAGCGGTGGAGTTTCCTTACATCGAATGCCTCGCAATCAGCGCAACTGGACGGATTGCGTGAATGTCATGCCTCAAGAACACACTGTAACAATATTGCGTGACACTGTCACGACCGCGTGGTCCGCTGACGACATCGGTTTTCTTATATTAAATATATCTTGTTGGTCCGACATCTTGGTTTTGTATGTGTTCTCCTCTACATTTCCCGTTCTGGCTTGTTACTCACACCAACCCGTTATTACGTTAGAACGTAAACAAATTTGACGTGGGATATTTCACCGTGAGGTTGCACGACTTTTCAAATTAAAATTTTCCCGAAATTTGCCCGTTCGGCACCATTCTGGTGCTTTCAGCGCGCTCCTGTGGGTTCGTCACCTTTTTTGTCATATTTTCTGAAGAGGGATGAAAGTGTATGCTCTGTGGATACTCTGGCTCTTCTGATGATAACAAGACGCGAAAAAAGGCCGAAAACTTCAAGTTGGAGATTTGATTTGCTGACGATCAAGATGTGCACATGAGACAACAACTCTCGAAGGTTGGTCTTAAGATGTTGATGTCTTACTTCTGTGAATCACGAAGTTGTATGTTTAGAAGGTCGTGAGATATTCGTTACGATAATATAATGTAGTTTAGAATTTGATCTTTGTTTACCTAAACTTTGAAACAAAATTGCGTGTTTTCTTCTTCGTTTTTGGGAGGTTGAGGTAGATTTTCTAAGTCATGGCTTACAACTGTCTTTGGCCTTTTTACTCTCCAAGTCTGTTTTACATGTTATGTAGGCATGTGTCTTAAACCTTTAACTCCCAAGTTAATTCTCCCCTCTAGCTGTTACACATTTCCTTGTAAACACGTTACGAGAATTTGGTGTTACCTCAAGGTAACATCTATCTGACAGGTTTGAGTATTCTAATTACCTGTTTGCTGAATAGTGTACAGATATTATAGAGAGAAGTTACCTGTTAATCACTTGTGGGGATTTAAGGGTTAACAACAGTTATAGTCTTGTCTCAATCATCTCCGGTTTTATCTTATTTTGTTGCCGTGTTTTGTGAGAATTTTTCTAATTGCCTTTTGGGCTTGAAGTGCTAAACTAGAGGATAAACTTTGGTAGAACCTATTTACCACATGGCCCCTAAATCCCTCACACCGTCAATTCATAGTTTATTTATTTAGCTTTCAGTCTTATCAGTTCATTCGTCTCAAACAAATGCGTGGGCTTTGTCTCATGAGTTTAAACTGTGTTAATTATGTGTTATTCAAAACGAATGGCATCAGCTTCATTCTGTCTTGTTTATTTTAGTAGAGTACTTCTTCCATATGAAATGAATTTTGAGTCGAAGTGTAATATGAAACTCGCAGATTACAATTATCTAACTTTCTCTGGTTCTTAAAATATGAGAGGAATGATACAACAAATGGATAATTACTGAATGGGCTGGAACTCCTTGTTTTTTTAGATTGTTAACTAAAGTGAATTTCTGTTGTATTTAAAAGTGAATTTCAGGTTAAAATGTCTTCAAACCAGTTTGACTAGCATTTCACTTTGCCAGAAATGTTTTGATCCTTCAATTTTTATTTCTTAAGTGAGACTGATGATAGGAATTAACTTATATGTTCTCTGCTGTTCAGGGAGATGTAAAGTAACCCCAACACCCAGAGTTGGTACTACTGACATAATGGATAGGTGTCACATACTGTTGCAAGCTGGTATTCAAGAGATTGTCATTAGTACCAGATGCTTACTACTGGGTTAAATTATCAATCTTTTGTTTCCTCCATGAAACTTACCTCGACTAGCTTTATTATGCCATATGCAACTTGTGTCTATACTTTATTTGCTACTGTAAAATTACCAATAAAGTTTCTGAAAGTCTTGTACAAATTTCATTGGAAAAGAATATGAGGGGTGATCAGGTGAAATATGGTTTGAGTTTTCTGGATGAGAGTTATAAAATTTCTTAAGTGACTAATGTATGAATAAGTTAATTGGCTGCCATAAAATTGGCACAGCTAACCCTTGGCCAAAAACTATAAATTTCCTCAAATAGGCATCCAAGTCAGTGCCCGTTACGGCATTAAATACAATTTTAAAGTCCCCTTGTGATTTAAGTCTCATTTCTCTAAAATCTGATTGGTGTAAATCATCTATTTCATATAGAGATCAACAAACCTCCACATTAGTTTAATCTGACCTCTTTGGTCTTGTTCCTTGGAAAAAAGGCTTTTGGAAATGTTTTTGTTTATCATTCCATACTGTTAATATCAGCTCTACTAGTTATTTGTTGTTTTGCTTGTAATAAGAGTCTTTTCAGACCATCAGATTGTCACGTATCTTGTAATTTAATAGGTTGGAAAATAAGGTTGCAATGAGTGTATATGATTCTGTCTCGCAGTTGAAATGATAAATGAAAAGGATTCTTGTAAGGAAATAGTTGACTTATTTAACTTTTCTTTACTTGACATTGACCTTTTTTATTTTTGGTAATGATCTGCCCAACCGGTTGTGACTCATGTAAAAAAAACCTTAAATTTTTTGCTAAAATTACAAGTACATTGCACTAACAGTACAGTTGATATTCTACAAAATGCTACAAAAAAGTGAGTACTTAAAATGATAAACATTAACTTAAGATAGCATTGATATGACAAAAGTATACTATTCACTACATTTGTGTTCTTAGACAGGTCTCATGTATCCTTCACAAATAACATTTACATTGATGACCCAAAAAATAAATCAAGACTCAAATTTGATTGTATAATCTTTTGCTTTCAGAAAATTACTTCCTTCCACATACCACACATCAATCTTAAGACTTCAACACTTCCATCTAAGTTACAGAGGGAAAAAATGTCAAGTTGTTTTCTGACATATTTTCCTGCATTTCTTTTGTGAGAAACTGATGCAGCTACATACCAGCGGTTTCTCACATCAAACAAAATTTACAGAACATTTGCAGACAAATTGCCTCTCTACCAGATAGAACGTGCTTCAAAACTTTTTTTGTCCCCATTTGGCTTTTGCTCTATCTAGAAATGTAAAAATATATCCGAGAACTGCACAAAAATTCATGTTAATCAGGTTGTCATTACTTTTATTCAACTATCTCATTTGAAACATGCACTTTTTTTAATGTGCAATACTCATATTCAATAGAAAATGCAATCTCGAGCCCAGGGTCATTTTTTCTCCTTGTTAGCAATATGGTCACCAAATAATGACCTATGGGAGAATCAATACAATTTTTTATTAGTTGATAGGAAAATGATAGACTCCATACAGGGAAGTATGATTTACAGAAGGGATTGATCAGGCCGGAAGTAAAGTATTAACAATGATAAATTTAGATTGTTTATACTTGTGTTACTGTTGTTTGTTTTTTTTTGTGTGAAAGTTTTCACTTGTAAACTACCAGTCAATGTGCGAGATGACATCCAGCCAAAGCTGCTGCAAGCTGCAATGGCAGGAGGCTGTTCTTCATGGAATGATGGATTGCTGTTGCTGTTGTCAAAGACACATAAGTAGAAACAAATTCTATTCATTTGTTTTAAACAAAACGCAGAAAAGTAGGCATTGTAGAGACCATGCAAGAGTATGGAAATGTACTAGTGTAAAATAGTTCTACATCAGAATAGCATAGTATTCAGTATCAAAGAAGAAATCGAGAAGACCAATTATGTAAGGAAATCGTGAAGAAAAGGGTTCCATTGTTAGGAGAAAAAAAAAAAAAAAAGAGGTCTGTCGTCATCCAAAGCCCTTCTCGGGCCATAGTTTTACTATCTACTTCACTGTGAGTAAATTGCTCAAAAGATCCATTATACTCACATCTTGGGTACTCCAAGAAGACACTTCTGATGGAAACACAGAGGTAATTGTTTCATATTTATCTATGAATCTTGCAACACATATCCTCCTTTTCTATCATCTACACTTTAACATTAAATAAACCAAGCAATCAATAGGGGTTGAAATACCTGAGGAAATATCCGGAGGTTCTTAGGTATGAAGGTTTTATATGATGCTACATTAACAGCTGGTTTGTTATTTTTTCATTTTTATTTTTTTTTACAATCACAGTCTACAGATGTTTGTGATCTTGTGAGGCTTCCAGTCCCTCACTGTGTTTGAGATTACGCTTGCCTTGGTTTGTGTTGTAGAAGCAGTGCCAAACAATGAAAAAGACAAGGGAAATACTGGAAATAATAATGGCAGGAATAACAGCCACAAAAAGTATTATTCCTCATTTCAGTCCTATATAAACAAGGAAGTTAAGTTCATGGTCAAAATTTATAAGGAATAAGTGCCTAGTTTAATATATCCACAATTAATCTCATCTGTTTGTTTTTCTGTCTATGTGTACTTTGCTTTGGCATTTCTTTACAAAATGTACAAATCAGCTGAACAAGAAGCAGAAGAAATGGATAAGAGGGATAACCTGCCTAAATTGGACTCTGTTTTAATGATTCTGATGGGAAAAGTATGCCAGAAATGCAATGTTCCTAGAGTGAGAGTAAATTTAATTCTAGACTTGTACAGGAGTTCAAAATATAGATCTGGAGATTAAATCAAGCACTAGTGAAAGCCAAAACCCAAGTAGGCAATAGATTTAAAAGGTTCTTTTCCCAGTGGACTAGTAGTAAATATTCAATGTGGAGTTTTAAGATTTATTACAATGAACTGGACTCTGCAAGACTACAAAATGAAAACAGTGAATTGAGGGGGCAAAAAAGAAAGCTTGAAGATGATCTGAAAGAGGAGAGGTGCAAGATAGGCAAAATTGGGGAGAAGTTAAAAGGAAGCAAAGGCTTACATTAAGGAAATTGCTGTTAAATTTAAAAGACAAGTTCAGAAATTAATGAGACTGCAAAAGGAACAGAAATCAAGAGGCCCTGCCAAAAGAAAACATTTTCAGATTACACTGCACAAAAAGCATCAATCTAGAGTTCGAGAACAAATGGTCACAGATTGTGAAACATCACTGTCATTTCTTGGGCTTCATAATTTTGTGGGCACTAAAATTGAAATATTTAATGAGAACACTCATGAATACGAGACTCTTAACTTGGTTGATGAGGAACATATTCAAACCTCATCTCAAACTGAAGAACTGACTAATGAGAACATTGATGAAGTAAATTTACCTCTCTACATCAAAGAGAGATTTGATGTTTCAAATGAAGCATACCACAAACTTACAATGATATGCAAGCATCTGCCTAGATCTTGGAAAATTCAAGACAGAATTAGGGAAGCAGGATGGGATATAATTAGCCCAGAAGAGTTAAATTATTTAGGAACATTGATTTCACAGTTGTGGACTCAATTTATAGCCATAACTGACATGATAAAGTCAAATCTTAGCCTTTAGTACTGAACAGTTTCAACAGAAATCTAAGGCATTCATGGATCAATTCCTACAACTACCGGTATATCACACCAAGCATGTGACTTCATACATGCACGTTCTTTTTTGGCAAGTGCTCAAGTACTTCAAACTGTATGGCCAAATTTGCTCCTTCACTCAGCAAGGCTTTGAGAAGCTGAATATTAAAACAAAGAAAGATTACTTTACGTTAACCCACCAACGAGGTCTTGATGTATTTTCACAGACTGTACAGAAAAGAAGTGGCATGAGATATTTAGGGGACCTTGGATGCCAAAGGAAAAGTAGAATTTTTAACTGCAGTAATTGTGCTGCACAGGGACACAACAATTTGACTTGCATGTCAGAATGTAACACGTGAATTCAAACTATGTTTTCCCCATCCCATGTGATTAAATTGAATGGAAGTGGGTTAAACAATGTGAAAATGGTCAATTACCCAATACTATGCAAGCATGTTAAACTGAACAATGATTCTTAAACTGACTTAAACTACTGTTTAAGAAAGTTTAATAATCATTGTTCAGTTTGAGTAATTTCAGAAAACTCGTGATTAAATTTTCATATTCCATATCTAACCATGAGTCTACTTGTCTATCCAGTTTTCGTTCGTGTTTTGTGAAATCAATAGAGGCCCTTTATGTTAGTTACATCCCTCATCATTTTAGATAGGATTCCCATATATGATGCTTTTCACCCAGCAGCATCAATATTACTTCCATAAATCACTGTTACATTCTTAAGAGGTTATCCCAATGTAAACAAATTACCTAACTGAATTCTTTTCATGAATCTAAAATCGTACCTTTCCTGCAACTACATAACACAAATCTCCACAGACGTTCAGTATCCTCTCGTACCATTTATTTCCCAGAATATTACAAAGCTTGCGATTCTCATTACTACAATGAACATTTCTTCCTTTTGACTTCTTCACAACTCCATTGTCTGCTAAGTATTCCTAGTAAATATTTATATCGATGCATTCCTCTATTCGCACTTCAGGAGATTCCCGTTTGCTTGAAAATAGGCCGAATTTTTATTTTTCCAAAAAGACGACAACATAGGACTTGCCTTGTCTTCCAAAGATTGATCACTCGTGAAAAATCGTCGCTCGTGAAAAATCGTCGCTCGTGAAAAATCGTCGCGCGTAACGGCCGAGAGCTAGTTACTCATTGTTCGCCAGTTGTTCGGCATTTCTCCAGTCAACATATTCATTCGAACATCTGATGTAGTGGATTTTTACCTTGTTGCTACTTTTATCTCTCTCGGCGATCTACAGAGCGTCTGACGACACTTCAAAAACACAGTCAACTTTAGTGCAAGTAACCATCGCATTCGTTAAAAATTTCGTGCTTACCTCGATTTGATGCATTTTTCCTTCAGCACAATTTTTATTTTTTCATTGTATCCTTTCCAATTTCACACGGGCTCCCTCTTCTAACGTCTTAAAAAACCCTTCGAATTCTCTGGGCGAGAACATTTGCCTTTAGCCGCCATCTTGAAATTTTTCTGTGATTTCGCACCCAGGCCGGCTCTTAATTCATGTAGAAGACAGGGTGACGCCCGACAGATACCACACGTTGAAAAAGGTCCTTCAGTAACGCAGGGGGTTAGTTATTTATTTTGCAAGGAACGCTGCTCTTTGAAAATGGTTCATAATTTTAAGGAAAAGGCGATCTTTGCCGTGATGAATTCTTACCCGTAAGCAATTCGCACGTTTTTCGCTTCTGACAGAAAAAAAAGAAACTGCGTTGAATAAAGCTTTCATCCCGAAACGTTCTTTGTCCAGTTTCGTCTTGCTTCTTATTAATAAATTTCATGCAGCATGAAGTCTCTGTACACACTAACAAATTCGCGAACCCAATCATTTTTTAAATATCTCTATCAATATCTGACCATAACTTTTAAGTCGCTGAGCTTGTTGGCAATTATGCTTACCGTTGTTCAGTTCCAAGATAAGTCCCAGGAGTATTTCGAGTGAGTATTCAAGGCGCCGTGTAGCGAAAAGTTATCCAAATTTCATATGTGTGCGAAAAAAGTGTGGCTTTTTTTTTTAGGCCCGTGGGTGCGTAAATTAAGCAGTCACATGATCAATTATCTAAATCTTTTGTCCTCATTTTGTTTTTTTTATATCGCGGCCAATGGAAACTCATAGTTAGTGACCCCTAGAATGAGAAGGTTAAAAAAGGAAGGTACTTTGTTCTTTGATCACGTGCATTACCTGAGCATTCCTAAGAGACGGACTTGAGCCTTTCTCCGCCGCTGTGCCGTCTGGGCTTTGAAGCGCATGCATGGAATAGTGCACATCGCTGAGCACATCGTAGGCAGAAGTTGTTGTTCGAAAGTTTTATAACACGGATACTATTTAAAGGAGCTGAAATCACATAGAAACGAACACGCCGTTCGCTGTCGACCCTCACGAAAATAAGTTGAGCATTTTCGGAACGAGTCAATCCGCATGCCTAACGAGAGATCAAATTACAGGCGAACATTTATGACTGAACCCTATCGAGAATCATAATATATAGATTTAGCCAAGCTTAAAAGCGAAACTCGCTTTTTTTTTTCCCCGCACGTCTCAAGAGCACAACGCCTTGCCCTGGCCAGGACTAGAACAAATCTCGATCTTGATCAAAAGCATCTTCAGAAGTGACATCGTATTTTAGGACGTCATCGTGAACCAAGTAGAATTCCGGTACAAAATCTACAACGTCTGAGGAACAAGAACAGAAAGGTTAGAGAATTTGTTTTCAAATTTATTTGTTCGAGTACACTAAGTCTTCGAAAATGCATTGTTATATTAAGGTTAGGAAACATATGCTTAAATCCTTCGAGACAATACGTAAAGGTTTAATAAAGTTAAAATCTCGAGGTAGACGGTATTGCTCACTGTTGTCTTGTAACAAAGTTATGTGTCTTTTCAAGAGTCAAACCCATGTAGCAAATTATCGTAAATCTCAGCTGAGCACAGATATCGAAAAGAAACCTGGCCCTCGCTCAGTGTATGTTGATCCCAGCAAAACGGTAGCAGCACTATAAAGCCAAGGTAGTAAGTTTGTATTTGGATAAAATGATGGACAACAGTGTGTTGCAATGAGTTTGTGCTGCTTTATTTATAACAGCAAACAAGGAATCAGTTCTACAAATGACCTCATTCAAGTAATGAGTACTGGAAATCAGTTGTAATCAAGTTTGTCTTAACAGTCCTATTTGATGCAGACAGAATTACCTACAATATTAAATGTGCTTGAAACTGACTATGAACTAGAATACAGTGAAATTTACACTGGTACTGTACATCAAGAGACAAATAGAAGTATATCAGTACTGTACCTCTTTACAAAGTCTTTGAATCACTATTATCACAAAACTGCACCAATTTTGTATTAACTGTGGGAGTTATTGGTGTTTCTATCTATTGTAATGCTGATATGGGGTTCAAAACATTTAATTCTCATGCAAGAGGCCATCCTCGAGGTACACGTGTGCTTCTTGAAGTATTATCACTTAAAAGCATAAATTTCAATTTAAGTTGTGTTATGGTCATCTACTCTCTCTGTTAGTCTTTTATTAAATCATGTAGTTATTGGAATTCAAACACTTAAGCTACTATTGAAGACAATGGAAAAAGACTATGAAAATACATGTTTAAATGGTTGTATATTATCATCTGATCTACTCCAAACTGTTGATGTTGTGGAGCTGAATTGAGCTTTTAATTAATGTTTGCTGTGACAACAATGAGGGACTATTGTGTGATTCACTTCATAGCAAATCCATTCTTGAAAATGCTCTAATAAACAATAGTGAATGCACAGGGTTTTGATGCAGCTTTCCTTCTATTGTATCAGTTGTATTTGTAAACCCACAAAGAAGTCAAAACATATGTATTCCCTGCTTGTTTATAATGAAAATTACATACAACCAATTCCAAAGCGTTCAACATTCTAAAAAAACTTATGTTGTGTCTAACACATAAATAGATTTCGAAAATTCTTGTATATGCTTCT